ACGACTCTACCCGGATGTAAGCTTGTGTGGAGAATGTCTACTAGAACCCAGGCCTTTAAGGGCTCTTGCGTAACCGTCATGCTTAGCGGCAGTTGACTTGAGAAATTGGCTGTGTTTTGTATTTTTATGCAGTACGATATTAGGCCGGTTTTTTTAATTATAATCGCAAAGCATGCCGGTTGCGCAAGGGCCTTTAATATTACGTGTACATACACAGGCCTAGGCCTAGATAATTTTTTATAGTGTTTTTTAACATCGGTTCGGGGTAGAGTTGGAGAATTGTCGTTTCTTGAAGAAGCGTCTCTCGCATAGAACGTAGGAATAGACAAGAGGCGCAACAAAGAATGCAAGGGGATTTCTCACACCTCAATTTCATTAACCTAAAATCTTTTCAAAACTTTCGGGGATAAACAATTAACAAATCAAATTACAAAACATTGTTATGGAACACTTCAAGAGTCGAAAGGCCAACATGAAACATGGAATAACATTATACAGTAGGTATAGTTATGGCTATGAAAAGGGGGTGCAGGAGAAACGCGAGGGGCAAATCACTCCACGAAAATCTCGTATACCTTTGGTTGAAATCCTTTCCTGGAAATCTGAGAATTCCTGGAAATGCTTTTGTTTTCGTGGAAATCTCGTAGGTTATTGTCAAGAGTGAATTAGTACTCAGAGAAATACATATTTGGGTGGGGTTAAAAGGAATACTTGGGTTTGGTGGGATAATGGGGCCAGTTTGTAGAATGAGGAAAAGGATGAAAATATCGACTTTTAAGGTAATTGGAAAACTGCAGAGTGACCAATACGTGGAATATTTTGCTTCGCGCCCAACACTTTAATATTGAGGGAAAGAAGCAATGTATTGCAGATAGGGGACACTTGGTGGGTGTTTCAGGGGGGTGGCAGTCCCATTTGAGAGAGCCAATGGATCGATAGAGTAGGGAACAGTGCTGTTGGATAACATGGGTATGTTGCTATAGAGTACAGTCGGGGAGGGGGCTCGGGATAAGGTTTAGGAGAGGGGTTCAGAGGGGTACAGGAGAGGGGTTCGAAGGGGGCTCGGGAGGATGGTTTGGGTGGGGGTTCGGGGGGGGGCACTTGATCATGGACGCTTAATTTCTAGTCATTTGATGGTGCTTGCATAGGCTGTGCAAAGGCAGAAACATGGAAATAATATGGAAATGAGACTTGAATTGTGTTTTCAAACGAGGCATTACTATTCATTTCAGTTGGCCTAAGACGCTGGTCAAATTTTTAAAATGGCCTTAATTACCTGAAAATTAAAACATTTTAACTTAAAACACCTTAATCTCAAAACTTTTCAACTTAAAACAAAGTTAAGCAAAAGATAATTTATAAAACTTCGGAAAGTTTAGACAAACGTCGCACATTTGAACTGAAGAATGGTCAACGGATTTCTTCTTTTACAAAAATTCAAACCAAACTAATATTAACAAGAGTCGATAAAGAGTTCTGAGAAAGGGTTTTGAACTGGAGGGGGGCATTTAGTGGTTCACTGCAGATCATAAACCGGAAGTAATATAGCCGGGGGCGCTCTCCAAGGACACTTTTGCGGTAACGCATAAATACGGGGGTTTTCTTTTGACAATTTTTAGGTAGGATCTGCAATTGGAGTTTTCATTAAAATATTTGATGTATGGGGTCAAGGGGCAACCTGTAACGAAAATGCTTTAGAAGGAATTCATTTCATGGCTTTTCTGTTTCAAGTACTATACTGATCCCGCTGGTATTCCAAGACAACAAAATTAAATCACAAAGGGATTCAGTTTTGGTCTCAAGACAAAATACCATTCCCTAAGGGTGCAGTTTAAAGACCCGAAACCCCCCAAGTGACCAGGTTTCTATAAGCGCAGGAATCTGTCCGGTTTAAAACTTGGTAGAAACCGGTTTAAAGCTTATATCAGAGGCAACGTGACCAAATTTCTGTAGTTTGTACGGTCGTTAGAACTGCTGACGAGAAGCTGACATGAATTGAGCTGTTCTGCAATCTGATTGGTTCAGGTTAAGCTACTTGTATGTTGATTGGTTTAGAAAGAGCTACAACCACACTTCCTTTAAGGAGCATATCAAATAAAAATGTTAGTAGAACAGCACACGAAACTATTTTATTCAAACAGTCAAAACGTCTAAATAAAAAAGGTTAACACGGTTTAAATAATGCTAGATGTATCTATTTAGGCCTTAACAGAGTTTCATTTAGAGCTAGGGCAAAACGTTGTCAAAATTTGCGAAATTAGAGAGCAGTACCAGGGCAGAGCCGTCAAAAGTGCGGGTGGGACGGGGGAGCACAATCTTAATTTTGAATTAAGGAAATTGCGTAGCAAAGTAAACAATTTCAATTTCTACAGTCTCTTTGGAGCAACATGAGCGCATTGCCACGTCTCCGCTAACCCCCGGAAAAGAAATTGGCAAGCCTAAGAAACTGTTGAGATTTCTTCAAAATTTCAGGGGGAAAGCTCATGATTCAAATTCAACAAGATATTTAATATAATAAATCTTTGATAATGTTTAAGAATAAACAATTTGTCACGTCTCTGCTAACTTCGCGGAAAAGAAGCTGGAAAACCAAGGAAACTGTTGATATTTCTTCAAAATTTCAGAGGGAAAATTTATGGTTCAAATTCCACAAGTCATTCGTTATAACAACCTTCGATTATATTTTATAATAAACAATTTGTTTCATAACTTCGAAACCAACCATACACGGATACCAAGCAATCGTTTTACGAAAACAAACATTCCTTTTAACTGTAACCGTCTTTATTTTTTCGTGAACAAAGCTTTCAGCTCGGCCAGACTTTCGAACAAATTCTTGGCAAATCGCTCCGAATTCGTGTTTAGCGAAGAGACTTTCGAGGAAATATGGAAGTAAATTATCCGGTCGTCAGGTACCATGTATGAAATGCCGTAGCCATCATCCGCAACAGGGCCAAAGCCGCCACCTGGACTAATCTGAGTGGATGGGGAAAGCAAAATTAGGGGAAATGAGAGAATATTTGGGATCAACGGTTGAAAGTGAGACCAAAGGTTATACATATAGGCATAGGCAAGGGAAAGGGCTATGGGCAAAAGAAAGGTGAAAGGTTACAAATATAGGCACAGGCAAGGTGAAAGGTGAAAGGTTACACATATAGGCATAGGCAAGGTGAAAGGTTACACATATAGGCATAGGCAAGGTGAAAGGTTACACATATAGGCATAGGCAAGGGAAAGGGCTATGGGAAAAAGAAAGGTGAAAGGGTACAAATATAGGCACAGGCAAGGTGAAATCAGGTTTTATCAACATATACAGGACATAGGCAAGGGGAAAAGGGCTATTGGGGAAGAAGAACAGGTGAGAAGACACTGGATAAAATTATTTAACCAGGCACAATGGCTCAGGTGAAGAGGATTACACATATAGGCATGGCAAGGGAAGGGCTATGGGCAAAGAAAGCGTAAAAAAGGTGAAGGGTTCAAATAGGCACAGCAAAAGGTGAAAGGTGAAAGGTTACCAATATAAGGCCATAGGCAAGGAAAGGCATGGCAAAAGAAAGGTGAACAGGTAATCAAATATAGGACAGCAAGGTGAAAGGTTAACATATAGGCAGTAGGCAAGGGAAAGGTATGGGCAAAAAGAAAGGTGAAAGGTTACAAATATAGGCACAGGCAAGGTGAAGGTGAAAGGTTACACATATAGGCATAGGCAAGGGAAAGGCATGGGCAATGAAGAAAGGTGAAGGTTACAATATAGGCAGGCAAGTGAAAGGTTAACACATTAGGCCATAGGCAAGGGAAAGGGCTATGGGAAAAGAAAGGTGAAAGGTAACAAATATAGGCACAGCAAGGTAAAGGTGAATTAGTGACATATAGGCATAGGCAAGGGAAGGGCTATGGCAAAAGAAAGGTGAAAGGTTACAAATATAGGCAGCAGGTAAAGGTGAAAGGTTAACATATAGGGCATAAGGCATATGTGTGAAATGAGTTCACATATAGATAGAAGGTGAAAGGTTAACATATAGATTAAGGCACAGGCAAGGTGAAAGGTTATACATATAGGCATAGGCAAGGGAAAGGGCTATGGGCAAGAGAAAGGTGAAAGGTAACAAATATAGGCACAGACAAGGTGAAAGGTTATACATATAGGCATAGGCAAGGGAAAGGGCTATGGGCAAAAGAAAGGTGAAAGGTAACAAATATAGGCACAGACAAGGTGAAAGGTTATACATATAGGCATAGGCAAGGGAAAGGGCTATGGGCAAAAGAAAGGTGAAAGGTTACAAATATAGGCATAGGCAAGGTGAAAGGTGAAAGGTTACAAATATAGGCATAGGCAAGGTGAAAGGTGAAAGGTTACACATAAAAACAAAGGCCAGGGCAGTTGGAAGGTGAATTGATTTGCAACAGTTGCGAAGGAAGGTTAAGCTGATGGACAGGGTCAAAATCGAGACGAAGGATTGGGAGTGCAAAGGCTATACAGACGAGTAGAGGTCAGAGGAGAGCGGAAAGGTCAGCAGAAAGTACAAAGGTTATACAGAATGGCAAAAGTCAGGGGCAATACTAGAATCAAGACAAAGGGCTAAAGGCTAATCACAGATCACAATGATTAGGGGCTGTGCATTGCCAAGGTCAAAAGATAATAAAAAACATATCCAGACATCATGATTTGAGGAAAGGTTAAAGGTTAAAGGAAAGAACAGGATAAGGGCAACTATGTAGGAACAAGAAAGGTCAAGCAGTAGATGGGAAGATGGGAAACGTAAAGAGACGTTTAAAACGTCGCACAGAAAGGCTAAGATCAGGGACACAAGTATAGTGAAGGCAAAGTGAATAGGTCAAGTCACATACTAAAAGATACTGTGCTGGAGACGTGCTCACACATGTGTTGTGGGAAGTTAGTAAATTATCAGTACGTATAAATTTAGTTATCCGCATGTTTAAGGAACCAAATTAGATACTTACAGATACAGTAAATTTAATAGACTCGTGGAAACAGAAATTAAGGAACCATAAATGCACACAACATCCTGTATGATGCACAGGCACATGGTAAAATCGCAGTAAAAAACCGTAAGTTAAGAAGATTAGCATAGTAATCAGTATTATTAGATAATTGGAGCAATTTCATATAAAAGATTTAAATAGAAACACTAAAGTAGAGTTAGCGTAGAGTCGCTCGAAATGTAGATAAGAGACGAGCAACGTAGAGTCACGTAATAATTGTATGTGGAATAAAACAGAAAATTAAAGATGTACGGAAATGATATGGTCTTTTTCTTGAGAAATTCGGTTTACTTCTGAAACCACTTTCGAATCAGTAGAGTGAAGCAATTAATGCAACAGATACTAAAGGATAAAGAACTGGCTAAAACTGTATAATGCAAGCCCGTCTTTAAAAATCAAAACAGTGCCGGAATACTTTAAAGCTTACCGTTTCTCTAACTTCGGGAATTCCAATGTCAAATCCTCTATTCATTTGTTGTTGTGGTTGCTGACTTGTTGACAGTGTCCATGGCAACGTCAGTGCGTCCTGAAGGAATGCGCTATCCTGAAGGAAGAAAGGCACAACTTTATATTTGAAGCTCAATTCATAAGCCAATCCAATCAACGGTTTTCTTCAAGCACTGTATTGCAGAAGAACAAACTTTGCCAGAATGACCTCTGGCCTAGCCAGGCTGGAAAACCTGCATATGCTCGCAGCCACGCTAGATTTCTTGTGCTTACAGTTTATTCACAAAAACAATCACGTCAGGTCTATTATACTTTAGTCGTGTATAGGCTTCGTTTCTGGCAGCTCAAATGCCTTTGCTCGCAGGTCGCAGGTGATAGTGTGTTTTTGCTCACAGCTTAACGCCTAGCCAAAAACAAACATGGTGCCCTAGTTGATGATACATCTTAATGCCATGTCTTTTGTTCGTGCTTTTTCAGATTGTCTCGCCTACATGGTCAGGTAAAATTGGGCAAAGGAAGGCGTAGTACTTCATGTAAAATTCAGTTCAGTATCTAAATTGTCCTGTAGCTGAGCACTCTAATCGATCAAATATTGAACCCAGCATATGATCATAGCAACATGACCCATCACCATAACAACATATAGTATAAACCTATGTCATCATCAATGGCATAAAATGGCCTCTTCGGCATAACACAACCATTTACAATATATCTCGTTTGGCATAATGCGACCTTTGACATAATATGACCTCTGAACCAACAAAAATTGATGTAATACGACCTTTAGTAAACAAAATATGAGCTTTGACATATATGACCTTTGACATATACGACCTCTGACTTACATGACCTCTGACATTCATGACCTTTGACAATATGACCTGAAATACATGACTTTTGACAATATGAACTTTCATATCCATAACCTTTGACACAACAAAACCTTAAGATTATAAGCAAATAATATACTTACATATCCTTGACCTCGGCTCACAACTAGTAGCGAAAAAAGATGGCGATCGATGCCCTTGCCGCTCATTCCATCTCTGTAGCATTTCTGATATGAAAGCAGAAGACAATCTTCAAAAGGTTAAATCTATGGGTTGGGTTGATTGAGCAGTTGGTTGAATGTGGGCAGTATGGTTTCTTAATATTTTTGTAGCCTCGGAGCTTAGTTTCCTACAGGGATGTAAATTGAGGGATTTCTGGACAGTGGCGGACACTTGGAGGCGAAAGGGGGCGAAAGAGGGCGAAAGAGGGCGAAGGGGGCGAAGGGCAGGTGGTTACCCCCTTTGCCAAAATTTCTAGAAGACAATGGTCTTTTGTTCTAAAATAATGGAAAATATGAGGTCATCTTACCAAAACAGCAGGGTTGCCCCTTCAATATTTGGTCAAATGTTCGCCACTGTTTTGGGAGGGTGAAGGGAACAAAATTTCCGACTGACAACAAGCAAATTGTAATTTTGTTCTGAAATTGTACTAAGCCCTTACTAACATAACATTAAAATTATACGGTTCTGTCATTTTATTTTAGAATTGAGAGATTTCTCGGCATTTATCAATATCATTTTGTTACGTAAATAAACATTTGCGACATAAATTCTGATTAATCTTAAGCTTCCGACTTATTCAAAAATTTCAAAAATTGGGGGGGGGGGCATCTCCATTCCCCTGGCATTTACGTACCTGGTTTCATTTCAAGAGAAATTTTTGCACTCCAAGATACATGATGAAGTCTGAGAAATTAAAATAACTCAAAACTAACCTGGTGAACTCTTGCCGCCTTTTGGATGAGTTTGCCTTTCTCCTCTCGATCCATTTCCGGGTTTTCTAGAGATCTTGGGAACAAACAAAGGGAATCTTAGTTTGCATGGCGTCAAAACAGAGATTCATAACGTCACAAACAAAGCTCCAAGAGGTCACAAACAGAGCTTCATGACGTCACAAACAGAGCTTCATGACGTCACAAACAGATCTTTATGATGTCTCAAACAGAACGCATATGCATAAGGACAAACAGAAGCTTTGGGAAAACAATACTTTTTGCACAATATGACCTTTATCAAGCATGACCTTCGGCGAAACATGACCTTTTGGTAAACAAGACCTTTTGGAAAACATGACTTTTTGGAAAACATGACCTTTTGGAAAACATGACCTTTCGGAAAACATGACTTTTTGGAAAACATGACCTTTTGGAAAACATGACCTTTCGGAAAACATGACTTTTTGGAAAACATGACCTTTTGGAAAACATGACCTTTCGGAAAACATGACTTTTTGGAAAACATGACCTTTTGGAAAACATGACCTTTCGGAAAACATGACTTTTTGGAAAACATGACCTTTTGGAAAACATGGCCTTTTGGAAAACATGACTTTTTGGAAAACATGAGTTTTTGGAAAACGTGACCTATGGCAAAACAGGACCTTTTGGAAAACGTGAACATTGACACAAGTAAACACTGACCCCTTAGCCAACTTACCAACTATAAAAACAAACAGTTCTATCTACGAACGAACAAACAAACAAACAAGATTTAATCTATGATGAAAATTATGCATTGTATAAACTGAAGATTTTCTATTCTATCTATTGAAAAAAAAATATTTTTGACATAACAAAACGCTAATTTACCACCAAAAGAAATTAACAGCTTTCTTAAAGCTTTTATCTAAGATGAAAATTGTGTATGTTGAAAACTGCAAAATCTATTCGTATTGTTGAGTGTTTTGCATGTTACTTACAAAATAAAGTCTTTCATTTCTCCAGATAAGGCCCGGATGGTTTCAGTTCTTCCATGCAGAAACAGTCTTGTCATGCAAGATTCGTAAGTAAGGGCAAATTTTCCATTGGAATCTTTGTAATAGGCCAGTTGCATAGCGATTTGAATGAAAGCATCTGGACTCATCTGAAAGATTCGATAACAAGGAGTTTTGGATTGGCAGATGAATAGGGGGAGTGAAGAGGTGGCAGACTTTAACAGGGATGGGTGGGGGAGAGGGTGTGTTGGAGTTCGAAAGGGTGAAGAGACAGGGAATGAGAAGGTAAGTATTAAAAGGGGAATGACAAGGGGTTAAGGATTTATAGAGGAATGTGAACAGGGGTTTTGGATTGCCAGATGAAAAGGGGGGATGAAGAGGTGGCAGGCATTTATGGAGGTGGGAAGGGGAGAGGGAGTGTAGGAGTATGAAGGGGGGAAGAGACAGGGCATGAGAAGGTAAGTATGAAAAGGGGAATGACAAAGGGCTAAGGATTTGTAGAGGAATGTGAACAGGGGTTTTGGATTGCCAGATGAAAAGGGGGAGTGAAGAGGTGGCAGACATTTAAGGAGGTGGGTGGGGGAGAGGAAATGTAGGAGTCCAAAGGGGTGAAGGGAAAGCGATAGGAAGGTGAGAAGGGAAAGGGGAGAAACATGATGTTGTGGAATTGTAGATGAATAAATCTTGGAAGGGAGTAGAAAAGAAAGGGGTGTGACAAAAGAAGAGAGCGAGAAAGGAGAGGAGACGAGATGGGGAAATGTGCAGGTAGAGGTATTTCGAGTGAGTGGGGGAAGAAGTGGAAGAAGATAAGAAAAGGGTGGATGAGAGGGGCAAATAAAAGAGAAGGCAAAAAGGGATGAAAGAAAGTTGAGATGGAAGCGACAGCAAAAAGAGGGAAAGTGACAAAAATAAGTGATAGGTGAAACAGAAAAACGGGCAAAGTAAACGGGAGGGGGTAAGGGAAACAGTGATGAAAAAGGGGTGTAACCATACAAAGTGGTTACATTCTTTTCAATTTTGGTTTTGACAAAGACAACGCTGCTTGGGTTCAGTAGTATTGGAAGGATTTCGTATAGGTGTATAGAAAGACATCTGAGAATTCAAAATACTCCCTTCTCCTTAGGGCTTGACAACGGGTTTACAGTAGGTTTTATCTCTCATACAGGGGGCTGTGTTGTTGAAAAAGTTTCTTACCTTGCATGTCTTGATAAATCCTTTTCCAAATGCACTGTGATTTACAACGACGATCTGCAAATCTTTGTTATTCTAAAGGAAAGAAACAAAAGGTCAGGTCAAGGATTCAACAATAAATATGAAAAAAATTAAAGAAATAAGGAACTCATTAAACTATGTAAGAAAAAAGAAATTTACCTTAAGTGCGAAAATTTTAGCGTCTGTGATTATTTTCGTCAAAGGTGGTGTTATGTCCCAATATAATCTCATTGGTGTTATCTTGGCCTTTGACCTTTTAAAGGTCTTTTCAGTGTAACCGCCAAATGGTTTGCACCTGCCCTGGTCGTTGTATACACGATACAGAAACCTAGATAGAGAAATTAAAAGTTGACATGCTTGACGTGTGCCTGTTTACATAACGTACTAACAAGCTTCATGCATGCAATACATAATGAATTTATAAGCTTTGATTTTCCACCTTTTAAGGATCGAGTTTAGATCAGCTTATTAAAGGTCAAATGTTCAAGGGTCACAAGTCAAAACGATTGCAAGGGTTCAAGGTCGAGCGTAAAGGTGAGGTTCAAGTATGACTGGATAAATATTTCGAGTTATCTGGGTTTCAAGTTATTGGGGACTCAAATTATTGGCGGTCGCCCCCCCCCCTCAATATTTTGGAGGACAATCGTCTTTCCTTCTAGTGGAGAAACATTTCAAGCAATTAGAGGTTCAAATTATTGGGGGGGGGGGGGTATTGGGGGCTCAAATTATTGGGAGTTTGAGTTATTAGCAGTTCGAGTTATCGGGATAATCTGTATCAAACAGAGTTCGAATTAAACAGAGTTCGAATTAAACATAGTTCGAATTAAACATAGTTCGAATTAAACAGAGTTCGAATTAAACAGAGTTCGAATTAAACATAGTTCGAATCAAACAGAGTTCGAATTAAACAGAGTTCGAATCAAACAGAGTTCGAATTAAACAAAGTTTGAATTAAACAGAGTTGCCTGTATCAATACTTCAAAGATCTGTAAGCTCAACTTACTCTTGGGTAAATATGCTTTCCATCATATGTCCGATAACGGGTGCATCCGCCCAGCTATGTTCCGCATTAACACCGACCCGGCCGTCCTCAAACACAATCATGTTGAAACTCTTGTCGTACCAGGCCGACTTTCCATCACCGTGTAAAAGATATTTAGCACGTTCGGATGTGTCCGAGAACTCTTTGTCTTCAAGGATAAGCTACAGAAAATTGCGCTTATTTTTATGATAATCACGAACTTCAATCTACCGGGAAAGTAAAGTGATAGACAGGTCCGTAGCTACGGGGGTGACAAGTACTGAGGTCTGGACCCTAGTCAGGACATTAATCACGTGATCCTTCACGTTGTAAATAGGCCTAAGTATGCTTTTACGCTTTCGTTTCGTTCGGAGTTCATTACTCAGCTGTAATTTGATACGATATCAATACGTTATCTTGGGATTGTTTTAGCAAATATGTATCATAATGTTTTGTTTATAGTTTGAACACGTTTGTCTCTTTCAGTACTTCACAGGGGGGTGCTCGGGGGGTTACAAAGCCTAGTTTTGAACGGGGACCAGCCATTTTGGTTCAAAATGTGGACCTATAATTACTTTGGGAAACTGCGCTTAATATTATGATAGTCACAAACTTCAATCTATTTCGAAATGTAAATCGATAGGCAGGGCCGTGGCCACGGGGGGATGCTCGGGGGGGGAGTTACTAAGCCTAGATATGGACGGGGACGAGGCATTTTGGTTTTAAATTTGGACCCATAGTTACATCGGGAAACTGCGCTTAATAGTATGATAGTCAAAACTTCAATCTATTTCGAAATGTAAAGCGATAGGCAGGGCCGTGGCCACGGGGGGATGCTCGGGGGGGAGTTACTAAGCCTAGACATGGAAGGGGACGAGCCATTTTGGTTTTAAATTTGGACCCATAGTTACATCGGGAAACTGCGCTTAATAGTATGATAGTCAAAACTTCAATCTATTTCGAAATGTAAAGCGATAGGCAGGGCCGTGGTCACGGGGGGATGCTCGGGGGGGAGTTACTAAGCCTAGACATGGAAGGGGACGAGCCATTTTGGTTTTAAATTTGGACCCATAGTTACATCGGGAAACTGCGCTTAATATTATGATAGTCACAAACTTCAATCTAATTAGAAATGCATAGTGCTAGACAGGGCCTTCGCTACGGGGGGGAGGGGGTGTGTGGGGGGCCATGGCCCCTTAGGAAGAAAATTACATTGCAAAAACGAGAAGCTTTTGATATTAGTTAAGATTAGCGTTCATAGCAAGTAGAAAAGGCCATACCACAAACAGCGCTTCATCAATTGTGTCTATAGAATCCTTGTTACTTCCTTCCACGAAATATTCCTTTCTAACTTTGGCCCAGTGTGTTCTTTCACTTGATGTCAAAGCGGCGATTTCCAGTTCCGCGTCAGTCGTTGCTAGAAAAGGTAAGTTATCGGTATGATAACAGCCTGTCCACGACCCGCTATAGAGGTTGGCAAAATATTGGCTTGTCAATACATTCAAATGCCATGTGCATTTCTGGGGCCTGAGGCAAATCCCGGACAAAAATAGTTGAGTCTTTTCAAGGAAAGTTGATATTTTCTTTGTTTGCTTTTTTCAAAGCCATTTTCAAATTCTGTACCGCAAAAAATTGTTCAGAAATAACTTCCCCCCTCCCCTAATTCAATATTGAATGCATGATTTTGAAGTAAAAATGATGAAACTACAAATCCAACATTGCTTCGGGGGAAAGGGGGGATTCGAATTAACAGGGGTAAGGCAAAGTAGAAAATTACAAAAATTGCATCTTGTCTCAACAATTTTATCCTGGACTGCTTATGACGACATTAAAATTGTGATTGTTACTCAAGTTGTTATAGATAGAAATTTTGTTATAACCTTTCTGGGGCCTCAATCAGCTCGGGGCCTGGAGCAATCACTCCCCCCCCCCTGCGTCCTCAATAATCAATTATCGCAAATCACTAATCAGCGATCAATAATCGCAAACAAAAAGTCAATATTGAAAAATAACAAATCATCAATCAAAGATCGATGATTTAAATATCCAGTAATCGCAAATTACTCATCAAGCATCATTAATCAGTAATCAAGAAATGATGAACAAAATCCAAAATCATTAATTGCATATCACAAATCAAATCAATAATCGCAAATCAATAATCACAAATCAATAATCACAAATCAATAATCACAAATCAATAATCACAAATCAAAAATCACAAATCAATAATCACAAATCAATAATCGCAAATCAATTATCACAAATCAATAATCACAAATCAATAATCACAAATAAATAATCACAAACAATAATCGCAAATCAATAGCCGTAAATGAATAATCACAAATCAATAATCGCAAATCAATAATCACAAATCAATAATCGCAAATCAATAATCACAAATCAATAATCGCAAATCACAAATCAAAGAGAGCAGCTTACGTTTTATTTGCTCTGAATCTTTTTTGATCCACTCAATTTGGCTCTCGAGATCCAAAATTCCCAGCGGTACACCATGGGCATCAACAATGTACATTTTGTAATAATGGCCTTTTGAGAATACTACGATGTGCTGAAACACGATCATTAAGGCATTAAATAAGAATGCTATTTTAATAGAGATGCCAAGTCCCTGGCACAAGACAATAAAGTATCGAAGTATGACGTCATCAAAAATTGACCACATAACCGCAGAAGTATGACCACATAATATGAAAAAACGGTATAAAATACCTCTGTTCAAAAGTGAAGAAAGTTAGATATGTTCAAATTTGGCGAGATATGGCCAATGAAAGATTTGAAGTTTGCTAACAGATAACTGTTATTTTGGCCTGGTACATAAAGTGCTGTAGCATATTTTAAAGAAGGCAAAATTCACGATAAAGAAGAAAACTTTTGGCTGATAGAATTTTGAAAATGTAAAACAAATCGACATTTTGCAATTAAATGTGGAGATGAACTTACAAAGGCCTTTACAGCAAGTCAAATAGACAAGAGATTTCCCGCAACCACCAAGAAAACCCATCCGTCCCCCAACACCACACCCAACCCACACCAAATCAACCACGGTGACCAAAAAACATCCCCATGGCTAACCCAGCACACATCAAGCAAAAGGCCAGAGAAAATGAAAGCTGCAAATTGAAAACTAACATTTCAATTGTAAATAAAACATGAAACAAATATTTTGTTGACAATTGCTAACCATATTTGAACTTGCCGTACCTTCAAGAATAAAATGTGAAATTTTCGTTTCAGTATCTTGCATAGTTTTAGAGAAAATTGCATTCATACAAAGATTAATCAAGATTTTGGTTTCAAATACAAAATCAGAAATCGAAGGGTTTACTTTGTACGGTTGAGATATTACAAAAAACTATGAAACTAAGAAACTAGGAGAAGTCAAAATTATCAATTAGAAAATCAACGACACCAGAAAAACAGGTTTTTGGGACATTTAAAAACACTTTTGAGTTCTTTAATGCCGCTGAAAGTTTGAGCTTACAAAGTTTTTAAGGAAATATATCAAGCTGCAAATTGAAAACTAACATTTCAATTGTAAATTGAACATGAACCAAATATTTTTTTGACAATTGCTGACCATATTTTAACTTGCCGTAAGGAAGGAAAATACTGTCACACGGAAGCCACGACGGAACAGAGCAAAGAGCCTCCAAGAACACCAGCAGGGCAGCCACCCCCACAAGAGAATTCCCCCGGGAAGATCATAGCATTTGCGCCATTTCGGATCAAGCTTACCTCTGAACCGTGGGTATGTTTTAATTCATCGATTTCTTCACCTGGGATTCTAGAAAGCGTAACAAAATGAAAATATATTTTCAAATTAAAACAATCACTTAAAAATGGATGAGATTTTTAGGCGAAAGACCTCACGAAAACTTGACAAGTCTTTCAAAATGGCGAAATGCTCTATGCGAAGAAGCATGCATAAAAAATGGTAATTTCAATCCATATTAGAATCAACCCCCGGCTATTTCGTAACCCAGGTTACACGATAAAACAGCATGTTACCTTGATGTGCCAAAGGTCCTCTCATATTGCCACATGCACAGCGGAATCGTGTCTCTGATTACAAGTGGCTCAAGTTCCTCTGTCTCGATTTGACGTTTGAATTCGAGAAGGAAAAACAGAATACCGGCCGCCCTTGAAGTTTGAAGTCGACTTGGAGTCCAACCGCTTTGGTCGAGGCAGTAATAGTTGCTGTTAATTGTTATTGGCGAACGACCCATTAAATAGACGTACTTCTCCCTAGAAGAGATTATAGGCAATGTGGTTACAGAGTGGTAACTCGTAGTTACAACTGGTAACCAATTTTAACATATCCACCAGACAGGCACAAATTAAATAGACGTACTTCTCCCTAGAAAAGATTAAAGGCAATGTGGTTACAGAGTGGTAACTCGTAGTTACAACTGGTAACCAATTTTAACATATCCACCAGACAGGCACAAATTAAATAGACGTACTTCTCCCTAGAAAAGATTAAAGGCAATGTGGTTACAGAGTGGTAACTCGTAGTTACAACTGGTAACCAATTTTAACATATCCACCAGACAGGCACAAATTAAATAGACGTACTTCTCCCTAGAAAAGATTAAAGGCAATGTGGTTACAGAGTGGTAACTCGTAGTTACAACTGGTAACCAATTTTAACATATCCACCAGACAGGCACAAATTAAATAGACGTACTTCTCCCTAGAAAAGATTAAAGGCAATGTGGTTACAGAGTGGTAACTCGTAGTTACAACTGGTAACCAATTTTAACATATCCACCAGACAGGCACAAATTAAATAGACGTACTTCTCCCTAGAAAAGATTAAAGGCAATGTGGTTACAGAGTGGTAACTCGTAGTTACAACTGGTAACCAATTTTAACATATCCACCAGACAGGCACAAATTAAATAGACGTACTTCTCCCTAGAAAAGATTAAAGGCAATGTGGTTACAGAGTGGTAACTCGTAGTTACAACTGGTAACCAATTTTAACATATCCACCAGACAGGCACAAATTAAATAGACGTACTTCTCCCTAGAAGAGATTAAAGGCAATATGGTTACTGTGTAGTAACTCGTAGTTACAACTGGTAGCCAATTTCAACATATCCACCAGACAGGCGCAAATTAAACAGACATACTTTTCCCTAGAAGAGATTATAGGCAATGTGGTTACTGTGTAGTAACTCGTAGTTACAACTGGTAACCAATTTTAACATATCCACTAGACAGGCGCAAATTAAACAGACATACTTTTCCCTAGAAGAGATTAAAGGCAATATGGTTACTGTGCGGTAACTCGTAGTTACAACTAGTAACCAATTTCAACATATCCACTAGACAGGCGCAAATTAAACAGACGTACTTTTCCCTAGAAGAGATTATAGGCAATGTAGTTACTATGTTGTAACTCTTAGTTACAACTGGTAACCAATTTTAACATATCCACCAGACAGGCACAAATTAAACAGACGTACTTTTCCCTAGAAGAGATTATAGGCAATGTGGCTACTGTGTTGTAACTTACAGTTACAACTGGTAACCAACTTTAACATGTCCAAACATACATACTTCTCCCTGAAAGGGATATGGGATGTGCGATACAGATTGATGTCGTGTAACAATGGTGTGGTTACTCGCAGTAACAGCAGCTTACCATCAGAGTTACATACAATGTAATTACAACTTGTAAACGTTAGCATATCAAAGATTCTCAATTTCTGGCAGTATTAAGCTTTGATACTTGAAATAAAATCGCTGATTTCTTACGGCAATAATGTGTTTACAGTGTGGTAACTCAAAGTTACAACTGGTAACTATTCGTACATTAGCGCTTCATCGCTCAAGCTAGTATAAAGCTAGAATATTGGATATGGTTGTAATCACCGCTTTTAATCATTGAGCAATGTGTTTACAGTGTGGTTACTCACATTTACAACTGGTAACCGTAAATGCTGAAATATTATTTATATTAATACACTGAAATATTAACAAGTACTGAAATACAACAAGTAATACACCACAATGCGCTAATTCGTTTGGCCTTTAAAGTCCAATATCATACTCATGCCACGCCCATGTCACGCCCATCTTCATTTGAGCTAAAACAACTGAAACTGCTTACCCCTGAGCCTAACCTTACCCCCTTATCATTTGCATCTTACTGAATATCTTCATAGCATTGATAAAAATTACGGGGGATATACAACTTACCACCAATCAGTATGATAATTGGTGGCCCACCATGATTTCAAGTGTAGAATCCGTTGCAATTTTGGGCCAGTCGTTTCGAGGAATTCCTGGAAAAGAAACCATAGCGAAGGAAACTAAAACGAGGTCAAAGGTCATTCGCTTGCCAAAGTGGCATTGTTTTACAATGCACAGTATGATACTTCGTAATACAGTACTTAGAAATAGGATACGACTGTGTATATGACGCTATAAGATCCGATACAGTACAATAAATTACAATACAATAAAATACAATACAATACAATACATTACATTACATTACAATACAATAAAATATAATACAATACAATGCATTACAATACAATACAATACAATACAATACAATAGAGCATAACACGTTGGTCGAAATACTATGCAAACACTAAAATATAATACAATATCGTACAATACATACAATTCAATTTACTGCATTTAGAAATACATACATAAATGCTAGAAAAATTACCACATAATATCACATATCGCAGTACAATAATATCAAATTTTTCTTACACACCTTGGCATCTTTTTCCATTTTGGCATATTGTTCAGCGTCCAGCAATGGTTTGACAGACTTGAGAAAACCCTGAACTGTGTTCTTCAAGGGGGGAACATTCATTCTTGGCAAGCTATTTTGATAGCTGTAGAGACGGGGGTGCTTACCGCTCACAAGACGCACAAACAATCCCCAGAAAATGGTAATAAGACTCTGTGACCTGGGGGGTTGGTCTGTTAAAAAAATTGGGGATGTATATTTTAGTAAACATGACAACACAAGACTTTAAGCTTTGAGCAGATAGCTACAGATGACCAAAAGCTGATGAAGATAACTCTAGTGAAGACTGATAAAGACTGATGAAGACTCTAAAGCATGTAAGATAAAGATTAAAAAAGATCGATAAAAATCTACTGCAGTAATTGATGAAGATTCTACTGCAGTAAGATGAAGATTGAATAAGATTGATGAAGACTTACGGCAGTAAGATGAAGATTGAAGAAGATTGATGAAGACTTTACTGCGGTTATTGATGAAGACTGAAGAAGTCTGAAGACGGATTGTGACGTTTGGTGAAGATTGATGAAGCATCTAATGAAGAAGGTTGAGTACCTAGTGAATTCTGGTTACGACTGAAGAAGGTTGATTAAAACTTTAGTCCAGAAAGAAGAAGATTGACGAGAAACCTAACAAAGAGTGATTAAGACTGAAGAAGGTTGATAAAAACTCTTAAGAAAACTGAAGAAGAAAGAAGAAAGTTGAGGAAGATTCCAATAAAGATTGACGAAGAATCTAATGAAGACTGATGAAGGCTGAAGAAGATTGATGAAGCCTTTAACGAAAATTGAAGTAGAAAAAAGAAAGTTGACGAAAGATCTATTGATAATTGATGAAGACTGGTGAAGACTGGTGAAGAGTTGTTAAGACTTACTACAATCTTATAATTATAACAAGGCATAACTAACCGATAATTGAAAGTTGAACTTGAACGAGGTTGATGCAATGAAAACGAGACTAACTCAGTGACATTACTTCAAACGTAAATGCATACTCACATAGCCAGCCTTTCCATGACAACAAGATCCTCAGAAGATACTGCCTCGTGTACAGCAGGACAATGAAGTATATCACAGAAAGAATGATCGATATTACAAACAACCTCAAGAAGTAGGGATAGCTGTCGTCTAAGTACATGAAGTTGCCAAACATCCACATGTATACGCTAATCATGTTAAGTTTTGGATGGTCGATGTACATCACACAGGAGGCTACGATCCAAGCGATTAGGAGGTTGTTCCATGATGTCGGCCAAAGACCGTTCTGGATTTGCTTTCTGTGAAGGGAAGAAATTATTGTTTCAGCAAAATTTTAATTAAAAAGGAGTGATATAAATTTCTGTTACAAGTAAACTGAATTGAAACTGTGTGCATCTTAGAGGGTTTTCTTTGAAGGGGGGGGGGCAAATGTCCGTAGCGGAAAAAGGTATTGTGAGGTTGCTAGCCATTCAATGTTTTCACTTCCTTTAACTTGCCAAGTCAGAAACAGTGTGACCAGATTTCAATTTTAGAATTATGCCAAATTTGTCATAAAATAATGCTAGATTTGCAAATATTATGCTAAATTTTAAATAAAGGCACCCCTGCTTGAAAAAAAGGCTAGAGGATGCTCAGAATATCAAAAGTGACCAAAGTTTCCATTTGGCCTTTTTGACCCCCAATCTAAAACACAGTGTACTCAACATTGCCATCATTTCTACACAAAAAGGCAATTTAGATCAATGGTTTTGACATCCAAATTTCTTAACCCCTTGGCCGTCATAAATTGATTTGGCCGAAGAAGCAAAAGTTGGCAGAATTCTGGCAGCATGTTGCAAAAAATCACAAAAAATGCAAAGGAAAATAAATTTTTTACATAGATGATATTCAAATTTGTTTTAGAATGAAAGAATTTCAAAATCGCAAATAAAGAAACATGAAACAACGTAAATGATAACAGACAATGTAAGATAAAAGTAAATGAAAGCTTTGTAACCTACAAAGTAAATTTTGATATCACTCCCCGCAATTATCAAAAATTTAGCTTTTTTGTGTACTGAATTTAGCTGGCTGAGTTTGGCTGCCAACCATAAAATATTTGGCTGCCAACCATAAAATATTTGGCTGCCAACCGTTCCAAACAACTGGCTAAACCCTGAAAGTGGAAAGTCACACATTCTTGTGTAAAGTGTTTCCATTTGGTGGTGATAGACAACGGATCAATGGAAACAGCGATTTTTTAAAAACTATCAAAATTATGCCAGAGTTATGCTAGATTCCAAATTATGCTAGATTTTATGGTAAATGACGATTTTTGGTCAATATTATGCTGAAAGCATTATATTATGCTAGATCTGGTCACACTGGTCAGAAAGCAAAATACAATTTGAAAGCCGCAAGAGACTGGCTGCACCGGGTGATGGGAGACTGACTAAAATCTTACTGAGGGCTTAAGCCCCCTTCAAAGCCCTTCTCCCGAGAAGCCACCCCTGAAAGACACAGAGTTAGGGTGGTAGGTAGTACTGTGATGCAAAAATAGAACATTGTTCACAGGGATACCAGAGCACATTTGGGGTAGGGGGAGGGGGGTTTCTCTAGACAAACTAACAAACTGTAGAGGATAGTTTTCTAATCATTATTTTTGAGGCCACGACATTAATATCATGCTTCAGATAAAGTGTGGGGCTTTAGCTCCCATCCCCCAGCCCTCAGCCCCACAACCTCTCAGCCCCCCAACCTCTCAGCCCCCCAACCTCTCAGCCCCCCCAGCTCTGGCGTGCCCGTTTTATTTCTTGACTTGGCATGCAGAGGTCATTCACAGGGACAAAATTTCTGACCCGACCCCTTGCAATGGTGCAAGGAAATATAATGGCATTGGTTTCGAATGCTGGTTTCGAGTTAGCAGGAAGTAAATGAATGCGGGAGAATCGAAACTGATACTAAAGTTGATCACGTGGTTTTTACAATGCGGATTGCGGCCTTCATTATTTACGTGACTTGCATCTTTCAATAGAAATTTCAGTAGTTTTTGATAGCGTGGATACAACAAAAACATAGATGAAAGGAGATTCCCGTGTCGAAGTTACGAATATATTGGTAACGATGTTTTTTGTGTGAAAACATTTTATGAAAAACATCATCTGCGATCGCGGATTTATGCTCACTCTGACCTCGTGTTGCGGCCTAATCGCTCGTTTTAGGCCGTTCAAGGCTTTATACCCCCCCCCCCCAATTATTAGCCCCTTTAAGATGCTTCAGCAACAGGGCTGTAAGGCTTAGGTGCGAGGATGGCTCAGTTGTTAGAGGCGCTGACTACAGACCCAAGGGTCTGTGGTTCGAGTCCCTGGCATGACCAAACTTTCATCCAGAGTGGGGAGAGTCGCCAGCTCTCTGTAATTCCAGGCGTTGAAATCACGAGGTGTGGTTACTTCGAGAGGAAGGACCAGGGCACTGCTCGATGAGCATAAGCTTCTCAGTGTCCTAAAAACTACCTTCGGATGCTAGGTAGCAACAAATACAAATACAAATACAATTTCTACTATAGACCATATCGGAGATCGCGATGCTGACATAAGTGGGGCAAAAACCGCAATAAATACAATGGCTGCCTATATCATTGAGATTCTCAAATTCCTCTGTGGCTCAAACCAAGGGGGGAAACTTGGTCAAATATTTGGGGGCAAGCCTATTGTTTTAATAAAATGACGTCACATTTCCAATTGTTTTGGAACAAAAGACCATTGTCCTCTAAAGTATTGGAGGGGCGGTCGCCCCCCTCGCCCCCACAGGTGTCTGCCACTGGCTCAAAACAAAGTCTACTGTTCATCAAAGATATTCAAATTTTCATTCTAAAAGTATTTCTCTCTATTCTAAAGAAGCTTCACGGCCGAAAAAAATAAAAGAAAAACTGTCTAGAACGAAAAAATTTCATCATAGCATCGCGATTTCTGAGATAGTCTATTGGCTGTGGTTTTCTGCAAAATTTTGGGAAAATGTGAATTTTTCCCAAATGGAAATGGAAAAATTTCGGAGAATTTTGTATTCTGTAATTTTGATAGTAATACACCCCTTTCAACAAATACATGGGTTTAGCAACAAAGCCAGTTCCGATTAGCTGAGATTTGAAATTCTTGCTGTCGATTAAGAATCTTAGAAGCAGATTAAAGGATTGCATGCATATCAGCCAATCTAAGATGCATTAAACATAACAAAGTCCATGGAAACATCCGCTTCGGGAGGTGGGAGAATGCCTTTATGCATTCATTCATGAGGACAAAAAAAGGCATAGTTCACCTCAACAATCTGTTTACAACCTGTTGCTATAGGGGGTAAGATGGGTGACAACCCCCCCTCCACCCCCGGGAAAAAGTTGGGTTGCCAAAGCAAGGAGTTTTTTGCCATCTTGGGGAGCTTGGTCGTCAAATTTTCAAACTTGCTGGCAAAGAAAGGATGTTGAACTCACTTTGTTGGCAAGTGGGACTTGGAAACCCCCTTGAGCACCATGGCTTATAAACCAGCTTTTATACTATTTAAACTTCTATACTGTAAATCCTCAAATTAGCCCCTTAGAGCTTATTTATTTTTTGATATTTTTGGATGGGGGCTTATTCGAGGGGGGCTTATAAGATTATTGTAGACATTAAGGAGACATTGTCGTTTATTTTAGTAGGAATTTCTTTATGACAATTTAATTAATTACTACCAAAAGTACGAATTTGTGGTGATAATTCAATAAAACGCCATAGGCAACCTCAGATGGCAAAAATTATCAAATGGAGGGGTCCAATTCTAGAATTTACAGTAGCAGTGGGGGCTTATTCACAGGGGGGGTCTTTTTGACAGTCTGTAGTTCTAGGGTGGAGGCTTATTTGAGGGGAGGGCTTTTTTGAGGGGGGGGGCCAATTGGAGGATTTACAGTAGCCATGACCCAGGGTTTGAAAATACTTCAGGGGCTGAAGGAAGCACCATTACACAACAGTTGAAAATGTCTCACTCAACCACAGGCCAAACCCTTACACACAGACGGAATCCTGACACACAGACACAGAATGAGATCTCAATGAGACATATGATAGGAAGGTCCTTGACTTGCCACTGTTGACCCCAAATATCTGAATTAACTTCAAGATTGAAATTCACCAGAACGCAAGGGCTATTGAAAACAGGCCAAAGGTTTATTAAATTTGCTTACATGTCTCATATGCAGGGGCGGACACTTGGTCAAATATTGAGGGGCGAGCTTATTGTTTTAATAAGATGACATCACATTTCCTATTGTTTTGGAACAAAAGACCATTGTTCTCTTAAGTATAGGGGGTTGGTTGTACCCCCTTGCCCCCTCCCCCAAGTGTCCGCCACTGCTCATATGCAAAATAGCAATTGATGAGGATTGATGAAGGAAGAGACTGCTCATGTGGCCAATTTTTAATACAATCATCTGATTTTGCACATTTAGAGGTATTTTATAGTGCACTTTTGAGCATAGGCGTAGACTTGCATTTTTTCAAGGGGGGGGGGGGCTCAAAAGAATAATGACAATTCCTAATGGCAGCTGCTGATGTTACAGGATAGAAAGTGGATTAACTAAGGGCTTAAAGGTGATTTTTCCATGCATTTTTCGTTATCGAGGAAGAAGAAACACACAAATGAAATGATTGAAAGTTTATTTTTAAATCATAATCAGTTTCTTAAAGGTTGAGATCATCAGTTCTATTTAGGCACCCAAAATGTTTATGCGTGGAACCAATAATATAACAAACTAATCTAAAAATTGGTAGAGCACTTCCTTTTTTCCAGAGGGGAGTGGTGAGAGAACGATGAAAGTTTGAATATAATTTTTTCAATTTTGGGGGAGCTCAGCCCCCTCGTGTTATTCATCAGGAGGGCTAAGCCCCAGAAAGCCCACCCTCCCCCCCCCTATTTACGGCCTATGTTTCTCAGAATACGTTGATTCAAGATTTGAGAAATTCTAAAAAAAGGCCTTTGTGAGGTCCATCTCTTAAGAACACTATTTGGAGTTACATTAATATAGGATTGTGGACGTGTCACACCATTCACAATGGGAAGAGAAAAATTCCCTTCACCAACAGAGATAAAAAATGATTATCAAAACGAGAATGCCATGGCTTACATTCGGCGCAATTTCAGAATGGTGGTACAAGTTTGAATATATCATAATGAAGTCAATACTTTCGCAATCAATAGTTTGTGGCCTTAATCTCTCACAAATCATCTCCTGTGTCCCAGAAGATCTCATAGGATTTAAATATAAACCGTTTATCTGATCGCAAAGGATCACCCAGTAACACCCCTTACAAGATTATTTTTTTCAAACAGGTTATAAAATATTTCAAAATTACTACTATGATCTGACCATTGTTAAATCTTTTTTAGGGGGCAAGGCTTCAACTCCTCATTATTTTTAAATTATTGAAACGATTACAATAACGGAATAGACGATAAATGAACCAATTTTAATTCATTGCGTTATATATGCGTGTTCCACCTCCAATAAACTTTCTTAAAACACTGTCTGTTACTTTCAATTGTTTTTTTTTTCAGTATTTGTATTTTCTAAAGCTGTTCATTTACAGGCCGCCAACTTAGTAAACGCGACGTCCCGAACCTGATTGATCAGCGCTACGTGAAGTTGCTCTCGTGATACACTAGTAGGAAAATACCCCATCTACTTGAAGGGACCTTACACGGAAGAACACACGCCTTAGTTTGCGACAACAAGATATAATAGCAACATTGTACCAAAACATGGTAACAAAAAACAATCATCTATCTTTTAAATTGTAATTACTTTCGTATTATTCAGCAGAGTAAGGAAATTGAAAAATTCAGAAAAGTGAAAATTTGCTCAATACCAATTTTTAAGCCTTCTTTATCTAATATGGTGTTGAAACACCGATAGGTTTTGAAGGAACTGTAATTCGAGGTACGATACTTTGTACCTCAAAACAATGACGTAGAAATTTTAAAATATTTCTGACCTTGGTGCCGGGAGAGACGACATAAATTTGGAACATCTAACCAATCAAGAATTCCGCCTAACGTGCGGAAAGATATCGATATAAGAAAATCTTTGGCGTTCACAGGACCTCCTTGGCTCTTGTTTGCCAGACAAATACGTTGAGATCCTTTACACTTCTTGATTGCACACCGTGAAATTTCACGCGACTCACTTTTTAGTGTCAGGGCCGTATCGGGTGATGGCTCCAGTATTCGATGGTACTCAGCTTCTTCTTGCTTTCCGCAAAATTAAACATTGGAATATGGTTGACACCTCGGAGGAGCTGGGCTTTATCTAAAGAGTGCTAACGTTTTTCCTATTCTTGTAGAAATTAAACGTGTGAAAGAAAATGTACAGATAGTTCTGACACGAGGCTGTTTATAAATAAATTTCTTAGTTGACTTCTGTTTCAGCCAAAAGCAAAACAGGGTGAGCCCGTATTTGCGAGTCTAGCTTTGGAACGGTACTGAAGTTGTTCCTGTGCTCACTATTCAGAATTTCTTTGTACCAGCGACTCCAAGTTTGGACTATTCCGGTAGCCAAAAAACCAACCAGGAGAGTCTTCACGAAGGATACAGATATCAGCAGGCATAGGAGCAACTAGCTTCTAGAATGTTATTTTGCAGTAGACAGAAGATCAAAACTTCAAACGGGTAGACTTCCCAAAGCCTAGTCGGCATATTGCCTAGGCAGGTTGCGAACGGCTTACCCCTTTGCTCGCTATTTAGATTACACTAATATTTGCAGTGCATATTAAAGATAGGTTTCTATCTCAGGCAGAAGATCTATACCTCCACCGTCCTTTTATGTGTTGTGTGGTGTGTGAAATCTCCTTTTCAACAGCTGATTAAAAGTTAATATGGTAATGCTGTGCGTAAAGACCAAAACAGCTAAATCCCACGCAAGTTAGAATCGTTATCTGCAGTTAGAAGTATAATATCAAGCGACGGCACTTTGGTGACACAGGTCTGACCCTGCCATAGTCAATTTCCAAAGTAGCCAATTCAAAAATCGATTTCATTACGTTTACAGAATGCAAGAACCACTTAACAATAGCCCTCGAACGTATAGGCATAGATAATTACCCCGCAGAAAAATATTAAGACGAAAAGGAATATCCCCAGCTCCCTCTTGTAGTCCTCACTAACAAAACATTTGATGTGATGTCATGACATGTAAATGAAACCCTCTCGTAATTAGTGTACCATTGACCTTCTTTTCCTCCTTATTTAGAGGAGACAATTTGATATGTCTGATATAATACAGTCCCATCTGATATTTGATGGAGTTTCCGTTAACGCTGCCACGATGGAGGAGCAAGCTGTTGTACAAACCCAAACAAGCCCACTGTGTTCTGTACCCGACAAGGAATGTCTCAGACTTTCCAAACAAAAGAACCAGGAAAAAGGAAGAAAATTCCCAGCCACGGTTTGGAAGAGGTTGCCCATGAGCGAGGTGCAGTATCACGTAGACTGCAAATGTCCATTACACTATCGGGGTGTTTGGGGACTGAGCACTGCTTGCCGCCAGGAAGGGGCATTGGTGGGTGCCCTTTCTAGCCCCCATTTTTTTTGCACACATAATAAAAATGGCAAAAAAATTACGTGTCACTACAAAACTATGCGATGTTAAGCATGTCGTTTCGTTCTTTGTCACTTAGGCCCGAAGATCTTCGGCGTACAGCAAGCTTTATTCGGCGTCGGCCGTGCAAATTACATAAAGAATTCGTTTTTTTGCGCCAACTTGGACTGATTCGGTATTTATACAGTTAAAATTTTTCGTTACGGATGTGCATCTGCTTTTTAAGATCATGATAGTTGCCTTGTACTATGTTAGATCAACACTGTAAAATAAAGTCTAGTAAACCAATCACTCATGTTTTCTCTTAATAATCAGTTTTTGGGTTCGTAGGGCGTAATAATGTCTTACCACTTTACTAACAGCTTAGGTAACTGCTTTTAATATTTTCGGGCGTCCAATTAGAGGAAAGTAAAATAAGAGCTGCTAAAATATAATGATAGCCTCCCATTCGGATTTTAATTCCACTCCTTACGTTTAAAACACTATGGTCAGGGGTCGGGATCTGCTAGGTAGGGTCATATCGTGGGTCGATCGCCCGAATGGGCCAGCTGTGCGGGTTTAAGGGCGGGCTGATACAAACAACTGTGCATACAGAAGTAAAATGTAGCTTAAAAAGTGAATGCGAGGCAAAAA